CAATTCAAGCTATAACATGGATTTCACATTGCTTGATTTAATTTTGTGATAATATTATGAGTAGATAATTATTATGTAGTTCTTAAAGAACGATTTTTGTTTTACGATTGTTTTTGTGATCAATCAAAATCTATCTGAGTTCTAATTGGCTGATTCCCATATTAGTTGTATCTCCTTTAACTCCTGACATTTCTATGACACCTTAATCATTTGAGCATCTTTTCTTCAAGTAAAAGGGGTCAAAAATGAATGCACTACTATCTCAAAAAGTTAAGAATAAAAAGAAAGCTGTATCATTTATTAAATAGAATTCTGTTTGAATTGAATTTTGATTTAAACCCACCTTAGTATGAACAAGAAAGATTTATTTATGGTTATAATAATTTTATATCTTTCCTAAAAAGGTTTGGAAAAATAAATATAACAAATTGAAGAGACATCTATCATTAGCAAAAAGATAATTTTAAGTCCATGTATTCAAGAGCTTTTTTAAAGGTGCACTAAGACAGTATGAACATAAGACAAAAATGCTATTTGATAGGAGAGCCAATATTTCTTCATTGAATTAAGATATTAGGATGCAATCTTTGTGTGAGTTCATTATCTCTGTAAAAAAATAAATGAAGTTGAGTTTAAAATAAATGCGAGAAAGAACAATTACGAGAGAGTAATAAGTGTATATCTTAAAAAGTTAAAAAATGAAGTTGCTGCCTAGGAAATTGTTTATTATCTACCAATAGTAAGAGATGTAAATACGCAGTTTGTAATGAAGTTAGCAATATTAGCAGACTTAACTTATAAACCAAATAATATTTTACTAATTCAATTTATAAATATTCATATTATATTTTTTATTTCCACAATTAAACGTTTAAATTCCTCCTAATCTGATTGACAATATACGATTGCCTGCTCATAATTCTTTAGAGCTAAACTGTAATTCTTGATTTTTATTAATACATCCCCTAATGCAATCAAGATATTTCAAACCTTTATTAAAATAAGCATTTGCATAAGTTGGATCTAATTAGATTGCCTTTTCATAGAAAACAATTGCGTCGTCACATTTGTTAAGATTATATAAGGCATTACCTAATAAAATCAAGAAATTACAAACCTTTATTATAATAGGTGATTGCAAAATTTGAATCTAATTGGATTGCTTTATCAAAGCAAATAATTGCATCATCATATTTGTTAAGATTATTTAAGGCCCTACCTAATACAATCAAGAAAATTACAAACCTTTATTATTATAGGCCATTGCAAAATTTGGATCTAATTGGATTGCTTTATCACAGCAAATAATTTCATCTTGATATTTACCCTCCTCTCCTAAGGAGTACCCTAAAATTTTTAACTTATAATAATACCTTTTTAACAATAACCAATACTATACTATTGATTAAGTTTTAGAGCTAGTTCAATACACACAATTGCTTATGAATATTGTTTCAAGTAATCTAAAGAATAGCCTATTTTGTAATATAAATGATTACTTTTTCTATACAAAGCATGTAGATGTTAAGGATCATCTCTTAAAACCGTTTCGCATAACGCAATAGCCTATTGAAATTACTTTTCTTCTTATAATGCATAGCCTATGTAAATTAATATTTCAATTACTTTTTGCAATTAAAATAAAAGTATTTTATGGGTTTTTCCTTAATTCTTGATCCGAATAATCTAATAGATCTCTATACAAGTTATTATTAATCTTTTTCGCCTATTCCCTCATAATTATTCCTTATCCTGGTTAGTTCATTTCAATTAAAGAAATACCTAATTATATATAATAGAATCAAATACATTTAAAGAATGTTCCCAAGGATTATTGTTTCTCTTATAATTTTATGTATTCAGTAATTTTTTCATTAGCCTCCTACCATTTCTACTAATTTAGTAATTATATTCCTAATTTTATTTAAAAACACTTGAATACCTTATTAGAGTAAATTGGCATTATCTTGTTTAATATCTAATATTTATTATTATTCTTTATCTAAATCCAATGCCTAAATCATTTTTTTTATTCTAACTAATTAAGTCCCTATAAATATTACTTATATAAAATACCAACTTAATTTTACTTCATAATCTCCTGTTAATTGTTTAAATTTTGGTACCATTCTTTTATCACTTATAAATTGTCTTTCATTTATTAATAATCTTATTTGCTTAAACATTCAGATATCTTAATTAATTATGTTTTCATGTTCTCCAATTATCTCGAGAATTCTTCATATTTTATTTA